GTGTGATTCAAGAAAATAAATGAAAGCGTAAATTTATTTTACTGATTTACTCAGGAACTACAAAACCGAATGCTTCGAAATCTTGAAGATATTTTAAAATTATCATAAGCATGGTAAATTTTTGATCAAAACGTATTTGGTCGTCCCCCCTAAAAAATTAATGACGTCACCACAAAATTTTGCTGAATAAATCCTATCTAAAATGTACAAAATATGGTGAGTCTCTTCTTGTGATTTATCATTCCATTCAAATTTTTTCGATTTGCATATACAGGGTGACTCAAAAAAATTAATGAATGCGTAAATTTATTTTATTGATTTAATCAGGAACTACAAAACCGAATGCTTTGAAATCTTGCAGATGTTTTAAGGTTATAAAGAGCATAATAAATTTTTAGTCAAAATATATTTTGTTATCTTCTACAAAAAACTGATGACGTCAGCTCAAAAGTTTGCCGAATAAATCGTATCTAAAATGTACAAAATATGATGAGTCTGTACTTGTGATTTATCATTCCATTCATATTTTTGGATTTGCATATGCAGGGTGACTCAAAAAAATTAATGAAGGCGTGAATTTATTTTATCGATTTAATCAGGAATTACAAAACCGAATGCTTTGAAATCTTGGGAATATTTTAAAGTTATTATAAGCATGGTAAACTTTTGTTCAAAATGTATTTGTTCATCCCTCCTAAAAAAATTGATGACGTCACCCTTAAATTTTGCTGAATAAATCCTATCTAAAATGCAAAAAATATGATGAGTTTGTACTTGTGATTTATCATTCCATTCATATTTTTTAGATTTTCTTAAGAGGTGGTTCAAAAAAATTAATGAAGTCAATTTATTTTATTGATTAAATTAAAGGCAACACTTATTATTAGTATTACACCCCAACCAACCCAATTTGGTAGACACAAAATTTGTTAAAGGAAAAACTCGGTTGAAACATAAGGGTAGCACGCTTATTTACATCGACTTTAACATTACCGACCTGCATTTGTTTTATGCGCTCACTTGGTTCCGCGAATGTGAAATAGACATGTTTGTAATCAACCAATTGTGAATTTCACCGTCAAGAATTAAAATAAAACCCAATGTTTTATATAATAAGCGGAAGTCGAAGCGATAAAACCGATGGTCGTTTTGTTTACAGTTTCTCTGTTTGACTCTCACATATGCTGTTACGCCTGTCATCTTAAATTAAGAATGTTTATACATACACGATTTTCAGTTGCCTCTGATACGTATACGTGAGTAAATTGTTTCGTTATTTTATTGATTATTACAAATCAATATTCAAAACGACCCAATTCATTTTCCCGAAAATTTGAGAATATAATAATTTTATTCTTAGTATTACACTACGTCTATCCCAACTGATATACGTGTCCTTGCAAAAATGTTGATGACGTCATCGCAATTTTTTTTTAAATTCCCACTACAAAAATGTAATGAGAAAAAAAACACAATAGGCATGCAGTCGTCAAGTTTCCGACAGCGAGGGAAGTACTGTCTAAACTCTTTAGACCAATTTTTTTAAGAACCTTGCAAATTCCAGTGATTTAGATAACATTGTCATAGCAGGTAATTTTTCAATACTTTAAAGTACAGAGTCATCAAAATTGATTGAGAGAGTTGGTAAACCTGAACTTGAATAATTTGGTTTATTAAGTTGTATAAAAATATTAGCTGTCAGATTTGAAGTTTCAAGTTTCCAATTTCAAAACTCAGTGGCGTCTTTTTTCGATTTTTTTTTTTTTTGGTAAAAAATATTAGTTGTCAGATTTGAAGTTTCGAATTTTAGATCCATTCATTTCTGGAATTTGTTCTCAAAGATGCAAGTAACAATAAGGTATAGGGTGCGCATCGACCAAGGCGATTCGTACAAACGTTAAAACCCTTCGCAACTTTGCAAGAAGGTAACTTTCGTATTCGCAGCTGATTCAGGTGAGTTCGACAATCAACCCTCAGTTCTCTTGTCACGCCACTGAATTCATTGCCATATAACCATAGAATACCCTCTCTATAGAACACGATCTCTAATGCTTTTATGTTGGTCACAATGTCAGCATCTACTGGCTGGGTCGGGAACTAAAACTGGCGCTAAATTTGAAAGCGAATTTTTAAGGTGAATTTTTTATAATTGAAGGGAAAAATATGGTTTCTGTATTTTATATGTTAGTTTCAAAACGTGTAAATACGTTTTGAAGCTGACATATAAAAAACACAAACAGTATAAAAAAAAAGTAGATAAAATATTTGACACAGTATATTTAAAACTTAACATTCAGTTGTAAATGTAAATACAATAAGAACAATAAATAAATAAATAAATACATTGATAATATCCTAAAAATATCTTAAGAGAAAATTAGAAAAGTAAGCAAAAGTCAAACAAAATAGTGCAAAATAAAATAACATTTTAAATAATAAATTTACAAGATAACCAAATATGTTTCCCAGTACTTTGTTATGGTATGAACAAAACAAAGCTGATGAATAACCTGCAAAATCCAAAATTATACAAACGTTCTACTTTCTTTCTGTAAAACGTAAATATAACTGTTGCATTTCTGTTTCCAATGGAATTGATTTGTTAGGCTCTTCCTTACCAAATACTACATTACTGACTTTTTTCATAGATCTAAAGATAGACTCTCTTAAAAATAAATGAAAAAGTTGAGTTTTTAGTTCTTCGATATGCAAAACACTCCCGAAAATCAAAATCAATCGCTGTTGCCCCTTTCATAACCGTTTTATAAAAAAATGGGCAGTGTTTACGCCAGGCATAGAATTTTTACAAAAAGCAAAAACAACAGGTAGCTTCTACCTTCCGAAAATTCCTCTGAGTACGCAAATATGGTCTGCAATTTTTTCCGTCCTTGTTGAACCGTCATCTTCAAAAACCACAACTGTCCTCATAAGGCAAGTGGTTCAGATGAGGCTGAATGAACATCTCATCAAAGATGAGAGTACATACTTAGGGTTAATTTTGCGACTTACTTGCTTTCTGAGAACTTCGAATATAGGTTTGATGATACCCGGTTCTATTGGAACTTTATTTAGGGTTGCCCTCAAAGTGTTAATAGATAGCAACATAAACATTCTTGGCAGAAGTTTATACGATTTTGAACCATACTTCCAAATGGCAATGGCATCTGCTTTCACCTCAAATGTAAAACTCCTGCTTTTCGATGTACGTTTCTAATCTAGTTTTCAAAAAATTCTCGCTGAAAAGAAGCCAATCCTTTCACGATACCAGCCAAACGTTGATCTTTTAGAAACTTCTTGGCGGAGCGAAAGGCGTTCTTGTGATTGCCACATCAATGTGGTTTGCTTCGAGTGATGCTGTAGCAAGTTCACTATCAGCTGTGAATAAAAATATCTTAATATTTGTTTTGTAGTGACTTTCAATTTGTTTTTACCGTGGAAAGGCAAAATAGCTGGTACTGCAAATCTATGCGGCTTTTGCGTTCCTGGTATGTAGTCTTTGTCTGGTCGAAAATGATAGAAGCCAGTGTACCCTCTGCTATAAATTTGGTTGTTGTTTAAAACCACCAGTTTTTGGTTATTCGCGGCTTTATTATTTGCGCCATAAACCGATTTGGATGTGGAACCCAAAGATCGGCTTAACTCTCGTCGTATATCCGTAACATGTTGTTGTCTTGCATTTTTGTTCTACAAAAATTGGGTATAATAATCTCGTCACGGCAAAGTTATATACTTACATTTGGCAATTACACTCTACAATGTACAATGTAAACACATAAATTAAGAAAACTTTGAGAAGCACTATCCCACTATGAAATCACGCATAAATCACGCGAATACAACACAGGAAATGTGTCAAATGATAAACACTGCCGTTGCTAGGAGATCTAAACGAATTCTCAAAAATTTTGAAAATCACAGCTTTTACAGATTTCTTTTCATTACGACTCCTGGCGGGCAGGTCGGAAAACTTCGCAAAGAAAGGATAAGGTGAAGGCTATCTCATTTCAAGACCCCTGCATATAACCTTAAACAAATCTGTCATAAGTTTGACAAACTTCACGACAAAAGCAGGGAGTACCAAATCTCTCAGTCAATTTTGATGACTCTGTATAATGTAACAAAATCTTACCTTACTTAATAGCGTCGGACATTCCCAAATTAGCCAGTCCCAAACATTTTTGAATGCAGTTTTCAAAATTTTCGATGAGCTAAAAATTATAACCAAGAAATTAGCATAGGTGAAACAATATAATAGCAGCAATTTTTGAAAACTAAAAATAGGCTTCGCTGGTTTGTGATGAATTTCTTTCAACATCACAAATTCGACAAAAAACGCTAGAACTGTGTCGGTCGTACACAAAGTAATATGTTTATACATTACGAACGTCAAAGGCTTTACTTGTCCCAGTCAAAGTGAAGATGCCACTTTGCTCCATTTTCAAACTTTAGTATTCGACCAGTAAATCACCTTTACCGTTATCAATACCTAATCTACTATTATAATACAACAACGATCAGAAATTGTTCCTTTTTGCGAAGTTGCGTCAAAATACGTTTTAGAAAGCTGTAATTTTTTGGTGCCTATATTTACAGACTGTTATCAGCTAGTTTAAGCATTAACTTTATTAATAACAACCGCTTAAAGTTTATAAAAATAGAAAAATAAATTTAATTTCTTAGTTATAAAACAAAACTCTACAACGCTTTCTATGTAACACAAGAAAATTAAAAGAAAACAAAGTTACCTGGCCAATATGAGTTTGCAAACGACGATCTGTTCTGTCCGCAATTCATATTTTTGGAAAACGTCAAACAAAGCAGACAACAAGTGATTTAGTGAGTCTGAAAAATTTGGATCCAAAAGTCTAGTTAGAATAGCTGCATAAAACGCAAAATTAGACTTTTGTATTGATTTTAACTTTGTTAACTTTAATAACACTTCCATTATTCGTTCTTTGTCAAAAATATTCCTAAATGAATGATCCATGCAACTGTTGTTCCTGAAAAATAAAAAGATCTAAATATTATAAAATCTCGAAGTGTACAGATAACTAAAACTGTTAACAGTTACACCACGCTGATGATTTTACCAGTAAGTTTACCGTATTACCTTAGATCATATAATAAATAGATACCAATACTCAAACTGAAAGGTGTGACTAGACATGAAGCTATCTGTTGTCGTTTTCTACGTCAAGGGGAGTAGTATAATGCTATCCTTGTGTGATCACCACATCTTCATCTTTGTTATATGCATTTCATCTGTATATGTCTATTTCACTTCCATCCTTGTATCGCACCAGCGCAACAAATCGCTTTTGACAGATGTTTCTTCTAACCTCACTTTCGAGTTGTTGTACAAAAAACAATTTTAGAATTTAGAACAAATATCCTATTTTAAGTGATGTAGTCATGAAGGATCACAATTGCTGCCCAATAATTTACTATTCCTTTCATTATCTACTGTGAATTATTTATAAAATCAAGCTGTCAACATCTTTCTTCCGAAGTTAGTTCAGACATACTTCCTAAAATTTAGGCGCGCAAAATTCAAATAGTGATCAGGCAAGGATAGCTTCATTGTAATCCCTCCATGCACGAGAGAGATGTGTGACAGGAGGATGTCGTCACAGGCTGTCCTAGGGAAAGAACACGGCATGGTGGTATCTATTTATTATATGATCTAAGCGTAATACTGATAATTTTTGGTAATTTCAGGAGGGATGTTTTGTAAGATTACATTTAAAATGAAATACTATCCTACTCTAACACCACCTCAATATTTATTATACAGGGTGTCCCAGAATTCGCGCCATTCCCGTGAATGACATGTTCCCTGTCCCGAACTGTGCCGTAATTCGCAAAAAGAATTGTCCAGGCTTTAACCGTGTGAGAACTGGAAGGCGATTAAGTTGACCAATAGAGAGACTGCTTTTATATCTGAACGTTTCTATGTTCAAAGTTACCTATGCCAAGAACAAAAAATCGGGTAATACTAAAGTTGAATGATTTTTTTCCGAATCCCCCTCCGTCAACAAAAGGAAACAGAAGTGTGGTTATAAATTTAATCATTTTGACAATTGTTTGTCATAAACTGTCACGAAGTTCATCACTGACCTGAACAGACGCTTCTGCCCCCAAAGATGACTGATTAATGTACACAGAGACGTCAAGGTTTACTTTAAGGCAGAAGTTATTTCTGCTGCCATTCTAGTTAAATTGTGTTTAACTGGGCTGTACATGTCATAAAAGAAGCTGTTTCATTTCATCGTAGGCAAATAATACATTTATTACTATTCGACATAGTGTAGATACCGAAGAGCAGGTATTAGAAGTCATTTTCTTAGAGCCCCGTGAATAATGTGTTGTTCTTTTTAACGAAAAGTAGTGTATTTTCAGAATTCACTATGCATCATATCCCTGATATTAAGTTTATCGTTATTTCTAAAAAAGAGTACCACATGTTCATTCAAAGAACGTTATTAAGTGTACTAAAGCATAAATATCGCTTTTGATTAATCGGTGCTTATGATTTTCAATAAACAGTATCAATTTTTACCGAACAGCTTTGTTGCTGATACCTAATCTAAGCAACGAAAAAAGAGACGAGACTCCACTTCTCTGGTGTATTGAAATCATAGGTATCTGCTGTGGTGTCAATCATGTGGGGGAGATACTGAAAACGGAGACTTATTCAAGAATAATATTGATGGAAGCGGATCCTAGGAGAAGTGTCCGCTGCGTAGCGTAAATGAGTGGATGCTCAAGATCGACCACTCATCGTATCCTTCAAGAGAGAAGACTGCATCCTTACCATTACACGAGAGTGCAGCATCTGGGACCAACCGACTACCCGATTCCAGCCCATAGATTAATAGTATTGCTCTTGATATGCTCTCACGTTAGCGAAATGTGGATTTTCGTTTGCCCAGAAGTGCCAATGGTGCGCATTAAATATTCCTTTTCGGGAAAATGAACATTCGTCGGCGAAAAGAATGTGCCGTGAAAAATCAGGATTTAGTTCATTTTGTCGCAGTAACCATTGAGCAACATGCACTCGTCGCGCAGTCGGCTCGTCGCAGATGCTGCACTTTCGTCAATAGTAAGGATGCAGATTTTTGTCTGTAAGGATACGATGCATGATCGATCTTGAGCATCCATTCATTTGTGCCACTTGTTCTTCACCGTCTACGCGTATAATCCGTGTAGCCCCAGGAAGGCCTTTCCGAATAGGCTAAAAAGATCCATCTTCTTTTGCTGGATGCAACAAACGACGAAACACATGCTGGTCAAGGAGCCGATGGTTGGGGAAAAGACCTGTATATCCGCGCACAGCAGTGGCTGCAGAGCGTTTACATTCTCCATAAATTAACATCATTTCCAAATATTCTTTATACTAGTATGAATAAGACATCAGTGACTTAGTGGTATTGGTACTGATTTGTTTATAGTTTGTATTGTCCTTAAATAAAAAAAAAAATGCAACTAAACGATTTTTGTCACATTTTTTATTCGGATCTTTTCAATCTCTAGAAAGTACTCACAACTTTAAAGAAACTGTTTTAAATCATCATGTGCAGCATCAATTTTATTCTTGAATAAGTCTCCGTTTTCAGTATCTCCCCCACATGATTGACACCACAGCAGATACCTATGATTTCAATACACCAGAGAAGTGGAGTCTCGTCTCTTTTTTCGTTGCTTAGATTAGGTATCAGCAACAAAGCTGTTCGGTAAAAATTGATACTGTTTATTGAAAATCATAAGCACCGATTAATCAAAAGCGATATTTATGTTTTAGTACACTTAATAACGTTCTTTGAATGAACATGTGGTACTCTTTTTTAGAAATAACGATAAACTTAATATCAGGGATATGATGCATAGTGAATTCTGAAAATGCACTACTTTTCGTTAAAAAGAACAACACATTATTCACGGGGCTCTAAGAAAATGACTTCTAATACCTGCTCTTCGGTATCTACACTATGTAGAATAGTAATAAATGTATTATTTGCCTACGATGAAATGAAACAGCTTCTCTTATGACATGTACAGCTCAGTTAAACACAATTTAACTAGAATGGCAGCAGAAATAACTTCTATCCCATGCTACTTGCCTTAAAGTAAACCTTGACGTCTCTGTGTACATTAATCAGTCATCTTTGGGGGCAGAGGCGTCTGTTCAGGTCAGTGATGAACTTCGTGACAGTTTATGACAAATAATTGTCAAAATGATTAAATTTATAACCACACTTCTGTTTCCTTTTGTTGACGGAGGGGGATTCGGAAAAAATTCATTCAACTTTAGTATTACCGGATTTTTACTTCCCGAGCGTAAGCAAAGCAAGTATTGTAATCGAGTCCGTCGGCCGACTCTCTACTTTTACGTTTTCTCGATCTTTCATGACCCCTAGAAGACGAAGAAATAGGTCTCCCATTTCCGTCTGTCTGTCCGTCTGTCCGTCCGTCTGTCCGTCTGTCCGTCTGTCCGTCCGTCTGTCCGTCTGTCCGTCTGTCCGTCCGTCTGTCCGTCTGTTGTCCCGGATTTTTATTAGACAGATAATCTCCGAAAGTACTCAACCGATTGTTGTGAAATTTTGTACTTATATTAAGAATATCATGTAGATGGTAAAACGCTAACCAAAATTTGTCTAATCATCCCCACCACTAATGCGATGACGTCACTTCAAAATTGTACATAGTAAATGGGTTTTCAATTGTATAAAATAACATAGTCCTACACATGTAGTTTACAACTCTGAATCGACTTTTCACCCGAAACGTCCAGATTTTTGGAAAAAAAATCAAAATTATAAAACAATATTTTGAAATTTAATTTTTAATCTGCTAACCAGAATGCTTTGAAATGTTGCAGATGTTTTAAGGCTATAAAGAGCATCATAAATCTTTAATCAAAAAATATTTGCTTATCCCCTCCAAAAACTTGATGACGTCAGCTCAAAAGTTTGTGGAATAAATCATATCTAAAATGTACAAAATATGATGAGTCTGTACTTGTGATCTATCACTCCATTCATATTTTTTGGATTTGCATATACAGGGTGACTCAAAAAAATTAATGAATGCGTAAATATATTTTATTGATTTAATCAGGAACTACAAAACCGAATGCTCTGAAATCTTGCAGATGTTTTAAGGTCATAAAGAGCATAATAAATGTTTAGTCAAAATATATTTGCTTATCCCCTCCAAAAACTTGATGACGTCAGCTCGAAAATTTGCCGAATAAATCATATCTAAAATGTACAAAATATGATCAGTCTGTACTTGTGATCTATCACTCCATTCATATTTTTTGGATTTGCATATACAGGGTGATTCAAGAAAATAAATGAAAGCGTAAATTTATTTTACTGATTTACTCAGGAACTACAAAACCGAATGCTTCGAAATCTTGAAGATATTTTAAAATTATCATAAGCATGGTAAATTTTTGATCAAAACGTGTTTGGTCGTCCCCCCTAAAAAATTTATGATGTCACCACAAAATTTTGCTGAATAAATCCTATCTAAAATGTACAAAATATGGTGAGTCTCTTCTTGTGATTTATCATTCCATTCAAATTTTTTCGATTTGCATATACAGGGTGACTCAAAAAAATTAATGAATGCGTAAATTTATTTTATTGATTTAATCAGGAACTACAAAACCGAATGCTTTGAAATCTTGCAGATGTTGTAAGGTTATAATAAAGAGCATAATAAATTTTTAGTCAAAATATATTTGGTTATCTTCTACAAAAAACTGATGACGTCAGCTCAAAAGTTTGCCGAATAAATCGTATCTAAAATGTACAAAATATGATGAGTCTGTACTTGTGATTTATCATTCCATTCATATTTTTGGATTTGCATATGCAGGGTGACTCAAAAAAATTAATGAAGGCGTGAATTTATTTTATCGATTTAATCAGGAATTACAAAACCGAATGCTTTGAAATCTTGGGAATATTTTAAAGTTATTATAAGCATGGTA